ACAATATAAATTCCTCCCACTAATGACAATAAACTCTCCAACTTTCTAAATCACATCAGTAATCTCACCCGCTCCATAAAAAATCTTGAAATTCGACGTAAAATTGATCAATACTCACATCGGCGAATAATTCCACAAAAAATCGAAAACATCAATCAGCCTCAAAGTCCAATGACGAAATCCCTTCGAATACTTTCAAACTTGCGACACGAAAGCGCAATCCTCCGCAACTGTTTAGCTACAGCCTTTCCTCCAGCGCTTCATTGTTAATCACAAATAAAATTCCTACAACAAATTCTATTCCCCAAACCTCCAACTATGCCCTCCCATTTTTTCCGTATTTATCTTCAATTAAAAAACGCGATTGAAAAACTTTTCAAAACAACTGCGATACAAAAATGGAATAACGAAGGTTTGAAAAAGCGAAAAATCCACGAACTCAGAATAGACCAGCGTGAAAAGCCGTTGAGATTGATCTGCGTGGCCGTCGATTTTAAATCACACAAAAACATTCGACGAGATGAATACGGATGTGGGACGCGGCGTCGAGATATTGTGTACAACCGCTTACGCACTCGTTTCAATTCCCCTCGCCCCCCTTGTGAAATCAAACCCCAGATACGGAGGGGCCCGCGGCGTTTCTGTTAGCGCGAAACCATGTGCAGTGCACGATCACACACTTATTTTCAATACCCGAGGGAAGAAAACAAAAAATTGGAAAAATAGAAATTTCAGAGGAAATCCTTGCGAATCCCAAGGCCATTTACCACAGATTCACTCGTTCTCAAACGAATAGAACCATTAAAATTATCCATGAATTTATGAGAACTAACAAGATTAAAATTTAAAACACGCAACGATTATTGTATCCAAAGGAAGAGAACAAGCTAAGTTAAGGGTGCCAAGTGAATTTGAAAAAAAATTCAAAAAAATTTTTTCTTTCCCTCCATCATTGGAGAAATATGTATTCATCCATCCGACGAAATTTCAAACCCGCAACCGGAACTAGATATCGAGAAAATAAATGCGGAAAATCCTCGATTTCGCGTAACGAACCTCGAGACAGCATGGGATCAAATGGGCACGGCGGGTTGAAATATCTCTCTTATTCACCCCGGTACCCCATTGTTTTTTGTCGCCATCACATTGAACACATCATTCCCCATATCTTCAAATTTTTTCAAATTTTTCTTGAGTTCCTAGGGGGTTGAAACGTTCAATTTAATCAAAACTCCATAAGAGGCCGTGTATAAGACTGATTTTGTTTATTTAATTTCTCGATATCCATAAGTTCTAAAATTTTAAAATTGTCACCGATGTTCACCATCTGTCTAATACTATTAATTAAAAAAATTATAACTTTGTTGGTGAATGTCAATTTTCAAGGTCATCGCCAAATTCACTTGACACCCTTAAATAGAAATGTAATATTCACTCAAACGATTGTAAACGATTGCCAGGTTTTTCTGCGAATTTTTCCCGTACGCGCGACTCTCTGAATAAACCACAATTCTTCATATTTTCATGTGGACTGGAGCCACCTTCACTTCGGAAATTAATTCACCGAGGTAAAGCGAATTCGTCCGGAAATTCCATTGAATTTTCCACTAGTTTTTGGTCGACTCCATTCAAAAAATTCCGCGGCTCATTAACGCGTGTTCAGAAATATTCAGTGGAAAGTATTCTATAAAAAAAATCAACAGAATTCTATTTTTCTATACAACTTATTCAAATATTTACTGTAGAAATTCATCGGCTCAAATTTTCCAATTTTTTTTGTTTAATTTTTTACATAAAAAGACCAGAATAAACGAGTCGAAAAAACTACAATGTCTCAGCAGAATAAATTGTACCCAACGATGAAATTCTACTAATCTTCCGTTTCCTATAAAACAATTTCCATTGGACATTTTCTACGGAAAAATTCGCAGTGGAGCCGCGGAATTCTTCAATAAACTCATCCGAACAATCGAATTTTCAATAGAAGTTCAATAGAATTTTCTACCCCATCAAAATTAAAACATAAAACAAAAAAAACATAAAACAAAAAACCAGCACAAGTCAATTAATCGAAGCACCCCATCACTTCTTTAACAATTTTTCTCTCCCCGTTGCACCACGAGAAAATATCAATGACCGAATTATACTTGATGAACGTGGAAACGAGTTTATCGCGGCGGGTGGTTGGCGGGA